GACCCGTTGAGTTGCGTGCACTAAGGTCCAGGAAGCTGTCCTGAGGATAGCATTTATGATCATCATCCCTGCTGCTGACTCACCCATCTTAATAGAGAACCTCTGAGGTGTCAGATATTTGCTTTATCAGTTAAGCTCTTTTTTTTTTTTCACCAAAAGAGAAGCAAACATCATCATTCTATTTGTCAGAACCCAGTTTTTATCTTTAGTTTTCCTGCTTCCTCCTTTCATTTAGAAAATGATCTTATTTAATTTAATAGGTAAGAGCCAGAAAGGCCTCCGTTAAGACACACATCCTGCAAACCTCAAACCTCTTTGACTGTCTTTGGAGCTGGGCTTCCAATGGCAGTCTGCCTTTAGGGTTTGCAATGGCTGAACTCCTGAGACCCAGCCACGGTGGAACTGGTCCCCCTCCAGACGCAGTCCCAAGAGCGGGGATCTGTTGCCCACGTGCCTTTCTCTTACAGTATGGAAGCTGTTCGGGGGTCATCTCCCTCCCAAGTACTTGCAGGTTAAATCCGACCAGTAAATAGTCAGATTATGTAAAACATACTGGAAAAGACTGAAGATAAGCAGCCATGTTTTGGGGTCTCCCAGATACTAAGATTTCTAGTGCTTTTTCTCCCTAATATTAGGCATTGTTATATGGTCTTAGTATTTAAGCTTCAAATTACGAGCCATTTGCCTGACTTCTCCTGTCCCAGGATTTAAGCTGTGACAGTGGTGAGGTTTTCCTGGCTTCCACAGGGCCCCGGAGCCAGCTCTGGGGAGGCTCTGTTGTTGGAGAGCCGAGGTCCCCTCCCAGCCTCACCCCTGTTTGGCTGCTAACCTGGCAGGGGACCTTCCTTGGAGGCCCAAACCCTTTTCTTCATGCATACAACTGATCTCTCTGGTGCCCTCCCACCCTAAAACACTTGGGTTTTACTTTCTAAATGGATCCCTGATCACATCGTGAAAAGGGGAAAATTCTTTTTTTCATACTCTGTTTTCTCATATTTTCTCTGCTTCCCTGCCCCAGTGGTTCTTACTGGGATTCCGGGGCCTTTATGGCTAACATCTGCCCTACTCACTATTAAAACACACTTCCTGGGGAGATGTGAACGGTGAGCATGTGCCCAGTGACCCTCACACACTCAGTAGGGTTCCAGTTTTCTCCTCTCCTAACCCTGCTCCTCTTAAGTCAGGTGCAGTAGATTGGGGTGGAGGTTAGGGACCCCTGGGGGGATTAGGTCTCTGAATTTTTCTTCTCTACAAATACTACAAAAAGTCATTTCCTGGACAAGTGTCAGTCATTTGTCATATATTTTAAAAATAACCTATAAACCATACAATTAAAAAGCTAAGTTTCTCTACCAATTTCTTGTCTTAAAAAAACTGTTGGAACCATGAGAATATTACTTAATATGCATACATGTCAGGACATGTGACATTTCCCTGACAAAATATTTTGGATTTCGCTGGGCTTTGTCGTCAAGCATCTATCAGGTCCCAAGAGCGAGGACTGGCTCCAAGAAGGATGCACGCCATCCTGTTGTCTCCCTTCTGTCTGCTTTAAGTGCAGGATGCTTTTGTTTTTCTGAACTTAAGGCACACAGACTTGTTTCCCAGGCTTTACAAATGGGCCCGTCTAATGCCTTTAAACGTGGCATTGCATGAAAGGAAATAAAAATATTGGTACAGCTTGATTTAGTAAGATCATTTTTCAGTGACCCTTTCAAACAGCTTCCTGCAAAGCTGCAAACAATAGTTTGGCCGTTCACTCCAGCTGGAGGTCACCCTGTTGCTGGACGGGCCAGAGGGCAGAGCACCGGCTGACCCAACCCGGATCCAATCTGCCTGAA